GCTCTTCCTCTGGTTGAATAATTGAAGGGGGAAACGGTATCCGAGGAGGCTGTAATTGAAGAGCCCCTGTCACCTCTGCTTTTATGTATGTTAGTATAGAAGTCCATCAGCAGCTCCTTGATGGTGTATTAAAACGGAGTGGCAGCCCCTTCTGCAGGAGATACCGTATTCTATTAAAGGAGACCAAGTGAGAGAAAGAAACTCTAGAGGCTAAAAGCCACTTCAAGTCTTCAGACCGATTGATCTGTATTCTCTTGTTATAATCCGTCTCATCATACTTGAGTTAATGAGGCAAAAGAGGGGGAGCGAAATCTGATGGTCCTTGACAAATTCATTAGGGAGGCTGCAGGACATTTTATTTGACTGTTAAACATCTTGTTTGTTTGGTTTAGGCAGTGCCAACATCAGCATGCTTCTGCCCAGACCTATCATGTTGGTCTGACTACAGACATTACTAAAAAGAGAAAGAGGACATTCAGGGTGTGATTTGAATATTTTGTTTTAGATTTCATGAAGCCCATAACCTTCAGACTTCTCTAGGATTTACCTTCACCATCCTTACACTTAGGAACATTTATGAGAATTTAGATATGATAGTGAGGTGGGCATGTTTTTAGTTACTATAAACTATGTATGTTTAAACTTTAGTCGGAAAAGTTCCCATTTCCTTAAAAGATTGAGTCAAGTTACAGAAATTACTGTGCTAGTGTTTGAAAAATGTGAATGTTTAAGCTCCAGAAGAGTAGCCAGATCATACATTAGATCCTATCTTTACTTGATCATGGTTAAATAAACTTTTAATTATTAATTGAATTTCCTTTTTCAGTGAAACACTTATGGGTACAGAAACTTGGAAATTAAAATGTTAACTATTTATACAAATATGTTTTTGAAAGAAAATGTGTGTATTTTAATTTGAACGCCTTTTTATATTTAAAATTAGAAGTAGAACCAGGTACTTTATGAATGGCGCTAAAATAATGTGATGAGTTGACAGAATACTTAAAAAACTGAAAATATTTCTAACTGAAGAATAATGGGCAACTAAGTTAGAATGCTAATCTTGTAATATTTGATTCTAGGATAATAACACAGTACTTGATTTTTTTCAGTTTCTCCATTTATGATACTTTCTTGCATAGAGAATTCAGTCATATTTTCTTTCAGCAATTGACTTAAACATCCTCAGCTTAAGTGCTTTGAGAAAGAACCCTGTCTTCCATTTACAGGCAAACAGTATGAGAGAAAAAAGAAAACTAATGCTCTTTGCCTGTCATTTTTATACATTCTTGCACTGCTGATGAAGCTTGAACTGCTGCAGGGAATGTATGGATTTGAAAAGAAATGATTCAGTAGTTCATGTTGTGTTTCTCAGAAGCAAAACCAAACTAATGGCTGCAGTCAGTGCTTCTGTACATCTGACAGTTATAATCCTGTTTACATTTCCAGAGAATACAAAATGCTTAAACTGTTTTATTTTTTGCTGATCTTTACTTAGAAATGTGCTTACTGAGTTAAACTTCGGTGCAGTTTTTACTTTATCATATCACTGGGACTTAAAAGATCCATTAATTATCTCTAGAAATGGCATACAGTATTTCAATAATCTTTCCTAAAGAGTATACAGATTTTAGATTATATGATTTTGTTTTCCAGGAAAACATTTTAGAATTATTAAAAAAATAATCAGGTTATTGACTTAAAAATATCAACTCTCTGAAGGATTTATACTTTTTGGAAAACAAAAGACCACGTGTTTACCTGTATATATTCTTATCCTCTAAAATCGAACTTTAAAATATCTGTACAGTTGCTAAATGTTTGGTTCTTATATGCTTAATCATTCAACATATTTATAAAAATATTTTTTTAAGAAAAAAATTCTTTTTTAGGGGGTCAAGATGTAAAAGGGGCAATAAATAACGATTAAATTCTCTGAATTTAAAAACGATTCCAGTAAACACAAGAAGAAAAATAAATAACCCAAACACAATTTGTTAGTGTATTAGTTGATGAAATTTTATTGAAGTAATTACATTAAACTATCTGTAAGAAGCTTTAACAACACCAACTG